GAAAGTAGCGCTCGCGGCTCTGTCCACCAACGCAGGCTGGGCCCCACACGTCCATGTGGAGAGTCTGCAGGGGAGCAGTCGTCGGCGGAAACGAGGAGGAGCGAGGAGCGGCGCGCTGCCGCCCCTCGAAGCAAGGGAGGCAAGGCGGGGAAGGCGAGGGCGGCAGGGGAGGCAGAGACCTGGGAAGACAAGAGACAAGAAGACGAGAGTGCATGCCACGAAGACGTGGCAGGGAGGGGTGACCCAGGCGGTGGTGCCACAGAAGAGTCTGGTGCGACAGGAGGCGACACGAGCAAGAGGCGGCTACCTGACCTGACGCGGACACCTGAGCAGACGCAGCAACCTGAGGAGGCTCGCTAGCCAGCATGTACAGACTCGACTCTGGCCGACGAGTGAACGTAGCCAGGTGACGCCCTGTCCGTGTGCACGTGCAGATCGACACACGCTGACCCCCAGGAGTGGTGGTAGTGACCATCACATCCTGGAGGGCAGCGGTACTCACCAAGTTCGTAGAGAACGAGGGGAGGTGAAGACCTGAGAGTGAGCCAGACGGAACTGCCGGACACGGGAGGACTGTGGAGGAACGGGCCACGACCGGTCCCCCGGAGGGGTCAGCCAGCCGGACCGGGACAGGTGCAGGAAGAGGAGTGAGGGTGGTGCTGTCACGAAAGAAACAGCGCGAGGCGCCGGAGTCCAACGTGAAGGTGTGCAAGGCCTCACCAGGCAAAGTACCAGGGAGAGTACCAGACTCACTAGCACCTAGAGCAGCAGCGGCTATACCTAGGTCAGGCGGCACACACAGGTAACAGTCACCCTCAGCACTAACAGACAATGCATACATAGCAGAGAGAATAGCATCAAACTCTAGGTCAAGATAGCAATCCTAGACTTAAGCAGATTTGCCCAACGAGGAAGCTCGACGTCGTCACCAAACTCAGCACGCCAAGCGTCGTCGAGGCGGGAGAAGCAGCGGTGCTGAGTGTGGAGTCGCCCGCAATTCTGACCAGCACGGTCGCCCGTGCGAATGACATATGGGCAACTACCCCCAGACGACCCATGCAGAAACCACTCACGAAGCTGCTGGGGAGACAGGGTCTCGCTCCGACGCTGCTGCTGCTGACGCTGGCCACCACCAGAACCGGTACGTCGAGCGCCATTCCCACCGCCACCAGTCCCACCGCCTCCGCTGCCACCACTCCCACCGCTGCCTCCACCACCGCCACCAGAGCCCCCACTCCCGCCACCACTCCCGCCACAACTCCCACCGCCGCCACCACCTCCACTTCTGCCCCCTCCACCACTCCCGCTGCCACCTCCACCACCGCCGCTGCCGCCTCCACCACCCCGGCCACCCTTGCCCTTGCTGCTGCGGCGCTTCGCACTAGCAGAAGCAGCCTCGACGTCCTCAGAGACAGAGGCGTCAGCAGCAGCAGCAGAGGCGTAGGAGGGGGCAAGGGGGGAGGGGGGACACCCCTCAAATAAGGGTGAGCGCGGAGTGCCACGAGCAGCACCTACAGCAACTGCACTAGTCTCAGCTGCGAGGAGATGCTGCTCGAGGAGTTCAACAGTGAAGGAGGTGGGGTCAAGAGAGAGGAAGTGGTCCCTGACAGAGCGAAGAGAGTCAGGGAGGTGGGTGACTATAAAGTAGAGAGTGATGTACATCGGGGGCGGGTTCCTGTCAAGGAACTCAGCAGGAACGGCAGCACGGTAGCGAGCGTCACTAGCGCGAAGGTGGGAAACCAGGTCCTTGACTCTGGCAAAGGCGGACATCTCGGGGAACAGGTAGGGCAGAAGGAGGCGGTCAAGAGCAGCCGTGGCAGGGGAGGAGTAGCGGGCGACTACAGCGTCGTACAGTGCCTGTGCTGTCCTGTGCTGTCCGAAGTGAGTGCACTCAGCTAACGGCAGGTGGTTGCGAATGGCTAAGCGGGCAGCAGCGTCGCGAGTAAGCCACTGTGAGCGAGTCGAACTATTAGCTGTGGCGGGAGGGGCAGTAGCAGCTCCTGACGCAAGGTCAAAAAGCGAGACACTGTCCTTAGAATCGCTTAGTAGGTACAGCTGCAGGTCACCTTGCCACGTGTCAAACTGAACCGGTCTACCCTCATGATCAAACGCGAGAACCCGAAGCGAAGTCATAGCTGTGCAGCACAGAGGACAGCAGTAGCAGCAGCAGTAGCAGCAGCGTCAGTGACAGTACCGGGCAGTAGCAGTAGCTGTAGCAGTGGGCTAGGTGCGGGGCAGGGCGGGGCTAGGTACGGGGCCGGGCACGGGCTAGGGTGAGGGCCGGGCGTAGGGCTAGGAATGGGGCTGAGCGGGGCTAGGGACCGGGCTGGGTGCAGGCTAGGTACGGGGCCGGGCGGGGCTAGGGATGGGCCGGGCGCGGGCGTGAGACGGGGCCGGGCGCGGGCTAGGTACGTGCTGGGCAACTGGCTTGGTACGGGCCGGTCGCGGGTGTGGTATGGGCCGGGCGCGGGCGATGGACGGGCCGGGCGCAGGGCTAGGAACAGGCCGGGCGCGGGCGAGAGAAGGGCCGAGCGCGGGGCTAGGAACAGGCCGATCGCGGGCTAGGTACGGGCTGGGCGACGGGCTAGGTACGGGCCGGGCGCGGGCATGAGACGGGGCCGGGCGCGGGCTAGGTACGGGCCGGGCGCGGGCTAGGTACGGGCCGGGCGACGGGCTAGGTACGGGCCGGGCGAAGGGCTAGGTATGGGCCGGGCGGCGGGCTAGGTACGGGCCGGGCGACGGGCTAGGTACGGGCCGGGCGCGGGCATGAGATGGGGCCGGGCGCGGGCTAGGTACGGGCCGGGCGACGGGCTAGGTACAGGCCGGGCGCGGGCGTGAGACGGGGCCGGGCGCGGGCTAGGTACGGGCCGGGCGACGGGCTCGGTACGGGCCGGGCGACGGGCTAGGTACGGTCCGGGCGACGGGCTAGGTACGGGCCGGGCGACGGGCTAGGTACAGGCCGGGCGCAGGCATGAGACGGGGCCGGGCGCGGGCTAGGTACGGGCCGGGCGACGGGCTAGGTACAGGCCGGGCGCGGGCGTGAGACGGGGCCGGGCGCGGGCTAGGTACGGGCCGGGCGACGGGCTAGGTACGGGCCGGGCGACGGGCTAGTTACGGGCCGGGCGACGGGCTAGGTACGGGCCGGGCGCGAGCTAGGTACGGGCCGGGCGCGGGGCTAGGAACGGGCCGGGCGCGGGCAAGAGACGGGCCGAGCGCGTGGCTAGAAGCGGGCCAATCGCGGGCTAGGGACGGGCCGATAGCTGGGCTAGGGGCCGACGGGCCGCGAAGGCTAGGAGCGACGGGCCTAGGGGGAGTACTCGCAGCGTAGCAGGTGGTGGGCCCAAGTAACCTGCTATGATTCCATGTCAAAGTAACGAACGAGAATGAATGAACTAGCAAAGAGTTGGGTACAAGTACTAACCCTATTTGGGTTGTACCCCTTATGGGCTACCCCACTACAGCCTACACAAATGTATAAGCTATAATGTTCTGACAGATCTGCCCAGCAGCAAATCTACTGCACGAGCCGTACCCGTCTCATTTTCCTGGCGCTAAAGATTATCGCTTGAAGGAAAAAGTCTACAGCGATATTCTCAACTTACCTGCGGAGGGTTTCAACGGCGAGAAATATGTCATCACGTTTACTGAAGCCTCTACTCGATACGTCTGGACTGGTAATATGACTAATCGTTTCCTTGCCTTCACAGCATTTTGAACACGGCTGCCTCTCGCAGAACGTGAATCCGACACCAAACTGAAGTCCTTCTAGTGTGACGGAGCCGGGGAGTATCGGAGTCTCGACTTTACGACGTATCTGCAAGACAGAGGCATACGGGGCCTCTTCTCGCTTCCTCACGCTCACCAACAGAGCGGCGTAGCAGAACGCCTCAATCGGACTCTCCAAGAAAAGATGCGAGCTATGCTCGCCCAATCCCAGCTCGGCCCGCTCTACTGGCCCTTCGCGATGGACCATGCAACACTGTTGCAGAACCTTCTGTCTTCCTCGGCTCTACCCAACAACGCATCACCCCACCCTTCTCCTACCCCCCCCTGCTGCGGGTGCAGCAGAAGGGGGGAGGGGATCAACAGCACCGACCCCCCCCCCCCCCTCCCCCCCCCCCCCCCCTCATCCTTCTCCTACCCCCCCCTGCTGCGGGTGCAGCAGTGGGGGGGAAGCGATCTGCCATCCCCCTGCTGCGGATGCGGCAGTGGGGGGAGGGGACCTGCAGCACCAGCCCCCCCCCGCCCCCCCCTTCTCCTCCATCTCTCTTCTGCGGGTGCAGCAGTGGGGGGGAGGGTATGGGGGTGGCGGGTGTGGCCAACCTGCTGTCGCCCGAGCGGGTATTCTCACAGGGAATGGGGGTCGGAGTGTGGAGAAAGAAACGAGAAACACACTGTTGAAATGACAAACATGACTTGAAAGTCCTCCAAGTTCCAAGTACTTGCTGCGAGCAGGATGTCCGCAAAGACTTTGCATGCAAGATGAATGCACAAGATATGCCCAGGGATTTGTCAGTGGACATCATCAGGCGAGGAGACAAGTAAGCACTAGTGCAACACATGAGTGGCAAAACGACGACTCACCAGGGACACCTGGAACGATATGATTGGGTAGTGTGAGCACTTTCGCGAGGGGCTGGTCGAGAGGCACTTGCACCCACTGCTGCTCGCCCGATGCTGCAGTGGTAGCACATGTGGGTGAATTTAGTGGCGAGGCGAGCACATGCGAGAGGACATTCATGCGGTACGAGGAGTGAGAGCGAAAAGGAGAGAGAGGGAGAGGGGCTCGGAGAGAAGGGCTCGAGATGGAAAGGCAAAATGGGAAAGGAAGGTTGTGCGGCAGAGATGGAACGGGAAAAGACCACATGTGTGGAGGAAAAATGACGAGTGATCTTGAGTGAGGCAAGCATATGAATGGTAAGGACGAGCCACCTCGCCTTCCACTCACCTGACCAATCAGGCCCGTCATCCCCATCGTCATCGCCCGCACCCGCCATGGCCTAGTTATCCTCGTCTGTCAGCCCCGCAGAGTCCTCCAGCAGGGCGCGTGGCAGGGCAGCGCTGGCAACAGCGGGAACAGCGCTGGTGCGCAGGAAGAGCTGCACGGCGTCCGCGCTGTATGCGCCCGCTGTGTCCCACTCCAGTGGCGGCGCGTGCGCGCCAAACATCTCCCGCACGTGCACGGCCAGCGTGTCCGTCTCACACGCGTCCTCGATCAAATCGCTGCCCATGACTTCAGGGTATACCACCACTACCGGCCAGTGCACCGCCCCTGTCTCGTCCGCCCACGGCTTGCGCGCACCGCTGAGAGCCTTGTACGCGGCGCGCCCCATGCGCACGCCACGCTGCGTGATGCACGCCGCCAGGCGCTCCGCCTTGCTGCGGATGGCGGTGCTGCGCGCTGCCGCCGCCTGCAGCACAGCCAGCTTGCTCTGTGCGTCGCCGCGCAGCTTGAGCAGGTCTGCTGGGGCGGCACAGGGCAGTGCTAGAGCAGCGTCGCACCACGTGATGGCTTCTGCATAGCGCTTCAATGCCAGGCACGCCTTTGCCGCTCTGAAGGGCGCCTGGCAGGGGGATGGCACAGGTGGCAAGGGGGGGGGTGTGTAGGACGAAGGTAGGGGAAGGTGGGGAGAGGGTGGTGCAGATTGTGAAGAAGTGGGAGAGGGAAGTGCAGGCAGGCGAGCGCAGGGGTGATGGGATACATGGGGGAGCACACCGTCCAACGCTGGGGTGAAAGGAGAAGTCACAGCAAGGATGGATCGTGGCATGCGGAACGATGGCAGGCGAGGGCAATAGAGAGGTGGAATGAATGCGGTTCTAGTCCTGTTCATGGAGGCAAGCAAGAACGAGGTGTGCGTGGTTAAAAGGGGGTGTGCGCCTGGGCTACAGAACCCCGCCCCGCTTCTTCCACATGCCCCACTGGCTGTGAGTAGAGGGGCTGGGGTGAGTGGAAATGGGTTGATAAAAGATAGGCATGCAGGAGGACGGGTGGGTGGGGGCGGAGAGGCCCGTGATGAATCGGATCCAGAGAAGCAGCCCGAGAATATCAGGTAATGGGGGGCAATGATGGATGGCATCAAGTCTCACAACGAGCGCCACCTTCCCCCTCGCCTGATCACCCGCCCTCCGTCCCCCGCCCGCCCCCCCTCCTCCCCTCCCCCCGTCCGCCCTCAGCCCTCCGCCCCCCCGCCCCTCTTTCCCCCCACCTTGGCGTTGGAGGGGTCGAGGCGGCTGGACTCGGCGGCGTCCGCGAGCGCGTGCCCATAGTTCCCCAGCAGCAGGTGCGCCTGCGCGCGGTTGCCGCGCAGCACCGCCACCGCGGAGGCGGGGATGTCCGCGAGCGGGTGCGCGTCGCGCACGGAGAGCGCCTGCGAGTAGAGGTCCAAGGCCTTGAGGTACGCCTGCCGCTGCTGCTTGCGCTGCCCCTTGCGCCCCTGCTCCTGCCCCTCCTTCAGCGCTATGTTGCCTTGCTCCTGCGGATGTGCGCGCGGGGATGCGCGGGGGTGCGCGAGAGTGCGCGGGGGTGTAGTGTGAGTTATGAAGGGCGTGCGGGAGGAGGCGTAACAGGGGGATGCGCGCGTCTCGAGCCAGAGCGCGCGCGCGCTGTCTTCACCAGCGCTGCTCGCCTGCTCTCCGCGCTGTCGAGCGCTGCGCGCACCTGTAGGATGGGGAGAAGGGGAGGGGGATGGGGGAGCGGAAGCAGCGGATGCCAGGAAGGAGCAGGCGGAGGAGGACAGGAGAGGTCGAAAGGAGAGGGGGGCGAGTGGAGGAGGGCGGCGGGAGGATGAAAATCGGCCGTGCGCCTCTCAGCCCGCGCCTACCCGCACCACCAGCCGTGCCATCCCGCACGCACACACGATACCGCGCACGCGCTACGCCACGGGGCATGCGCACCCCCCGACTCCAGCCCACCACTCACCCTCAGCCACGTGACTTCCTCCTCGGGCGTCTCCTCCATGAGGCTGCGCATCGCCGCCACGTCCGGATGATCCACCGCCTCCGCCAGCTCCGGCGTCAGCAGCAGCGACGGCAGCGCCGCCACCGCCGCTTCCAACGCCGCGTCCTCCGCCGCTTCTGCCGCCGCTTCTGCTGACTCAGTCGACGCTTGCTCGTCGGGCGCTCCAGATGCACCTGGCGCTCCCGATGGCTGGGGAGAAGGGGCGGTAGGTTCCGCCGCGGCGCGCGCTGCGCTGCTATCGCCGCCATCGTCGCGCGGAGGAGGCGGGACGGCGGAAGACGCGGATTCTCCCGCCATCGCGAAGTCGAGAAGGTGAGCGGAGTACACGTGTAAGCAGCAAACGCGACGGGCGAGACGAGAGGGGGCGGTGTGCGATGGCGAGGTGGGCACGAGATACACTTTGTAACCCGATCGCAGCAAGATTGGCGATCGGTGATGACTGTAATGATTGGGTTACGAAGTGTAATTGATGACTGTAATTGAGGCGTGCCGCAGCAGAAGCACTCAGGGGTTTGGGGATTTCCATGGCTTTTGCCTGCCTGCATAGACCTTACCGAAACCATCCTAACCGAATTCAAAACTCAAAATATAAAAACAAACCGAACCGACCGTGATAATGGCTTCCCCACAATTCAAACCCCGCCACCCCAATTTCGAGACGCGGTACGAGTTTCCCGCGTCTTTTCCGCCATATTTGTTCGCTTCAATCTGACGCTCAAATCCGGATGTCAACCAGCTTTCGAAGACTAGCGAAGTCCTTCCACCATTGATTTTGCCACTCGCATAAACTTCGAAGTGTTCGCGTGCAATTCGCTTGATTTCGCCGTGCAAAGTCGTCGGACCCTGGATTTGGATATCTTTCTCTCACTCGTTTACCTTGCGGGTGCACTCCCTGCCCTCCCCTCCCTAGGGTTTCCAACAAGCCTATTTTCCTTTGGGGCTGTTCTTTACGTGCAATTCCGTTTCCACCAGGTCAGGTGTGATTACTACAAGCAGTAACTACACACGCACATATACTTCAACCATTATGCAAGCACACCCTGTACTATAACCATCTTTGTGGAAGGAGACAGATGCCTATGTCAAAGTTGTTTGTGCTACAATGATTATCCTAGGTTACGGTTAGCTATTTGTACCCACATTTTGTCCAGTGCAGGCCTCTCGCTAGCAGGAACTTTGAGTATGTTTGTCTGATTATCAGGGTTTTTTCTAGGGGTTTATTTGATATATCAGAAATTGTGTTTTAAAATTTCTGATTGGAAAGGAATAGATTTTTGCACTTATCTGATGAGAAATACACAATTTTACCTGTTCTCCTGATTCATCAGGAACCAGTTTCGGTTACATCTTATCATACCGAAACCTTCTTCCCATAGGCGTGGTTTCAGCATGTACAGGGCGTGATTACCGGCTTCCCCCCCTGAGTGTCAAACATATGTTTATATGTTATAGTTTAGGTAGGCTTTAGTGGGGTACTCACTGTGGGGTACAACCCCTTAGGTTTTCCTTTTGTACCAAACTCTCGATAGTCCAATCCCACCTTGCCTAAGATTCTAACATGGCATCTAGAGCATAGGTCCTTAGTGTTGAGATAATATCGAGACTTGTGCACTTCAAGGAATTCGTATAGTGTAGTTAGTGTTGAGATAATGTCGAGACTTATGCACTTCAAGGAATTCGTATAGTTAGTACAGTAAAAGTACCGATAGACTAACGTCAGCAAAGCGCTACGCGCCTTAGGATGACGTCATCAGTAGCTGTAGGTATCGCGAATAGTCACGTACCTTTTCAGAACAGGAATAGCGCGAATAAATACAGCACAGTAGGCGAACAGGTACTTTAGTCTAGTTATATATTCTGTATGCTTGTCATTTTATAATATACTTGATTTCAGAGACCTTTGATCCTGTTACAAGTCACTCATATAAAAGACTTCCACTGCTACAGGAAGCTACTATCCTAAGACTAAACAGTTCAGATTCTAACATGGTATGAGAGCAACTTAGGATTAAAACAGCTTCCATCTGCCTATTCTACAACTATGTCTGGATCTCCAAGGTCCAGTTGGCAGCTGTATGACGGCACAGCACCATTTCCATCACACGGGTCACCACTTCAACAAGCCACTTTTCGATCGGCGTCGCTGACTGCATATACAGTTCTCGTTCGTAATCTGACTCCGACTGAACAGCTCGGAATTCGTTCTTTTCGTAACAGTGTCGCTCCCGCTGAAGCAGCTTGGTTATACCTGCAAGGGGTTCACATGGCAAAAGATACTGTCAACCAGAGTAAAATTTTGACGCAGCTGTCAAATATACAGATGATAAACAGCGAGAAGGTGACGCAGTATATTAACCGCGCTCGAAATCTGCGCGATCAACTTCAGAAGTGTGGAGGGTACTTCCCCGACGCTATGTTCCACACGGTGCTACTTGCGGGTCTTGGACCAGAATGGCGACAGTGTCGCTCTATACTTCGGATGCAAGCACAGTTGTCCGAGGGGGCACTCTGTGCCGCTCTCATCGCCGAGCAGCAGGATATGGATCTGCACAACGCTCGAGGAGGGAAAAAGATGGTAAACAATACAGTCAGTTTTTATTCTAATCCACGTCACAAGCCCGTTTGTTCTTTTTGTCGAAAACCAGGACACACTATTGATACCTGCTGGTCGAAAGACAAACCATCTTGGAAGCGGTCTGCATCGAAACATAATAAAGATTCTTCAAGTGAAGCAGAGAAGCCGGAAGCAGAGAAGCCGGACGCTGAGAAGCTGAACTCTGCGAAGCCGACTACTGCACCTGCCAAGACACAAACAAAAGCAGTTATTAATTGCATGACATCAGTGTCAACGGTTTATGATCCTGATGCTGAAGAGCGGATTCACAACCGGTTCAACAACGAACTCAACACACCGATTCCACCTGAGGTCTATGCAAATCTTGCACATACCATTGCAGGTCCCAATGCTTGGTACCTCGACAGTTGCTGCGGTCAGCACATGTGTTCGTCAGAGACGCGTTTCATCGTGAATCAACGCCGTCTGGAGAATCCCGTTGTCGTCACGGTCGCCAATAACCAACGACTTACAGCTCACTGGATGGGAAGTATTGTTCTGGACTCAGTTGAAGAAGACTTCAGTCTTCACCTGAACGAAGTCCTTCTGGTCCCTCGGCTTGGCTTCAACCCCATGTCATCTGCACAGCTTATGAAGAACGGGATTACATTTCTCGGTGAACCTGGGAAATTCACTCTGAAGTACGGCGACAAGAAACTCGGCACGGCAGTTGAGCAAAACGGTGTTTTCGTTTTGAACTTCATACCTGAGCGCACTACTGCCGACTCTGATAACATTCTCTCGCTTGGTCCTTGGGAGCATCGTGATGATATTGATTACACCGACGATACAGTTCCACGTGAGGGAGTTGTCCCGACGTCTTCAACCACGGCTGCCGCCGTCATGTTGACCTTTGACGATCAAGGCTTGAATGATGTTGAGAACTCTCGGGAGTACATGGCTGCAGTTGAAGGTTGGGGTGATCCGACGAACATGCCGACTGATGACGGCATCTGGGGGGCTGACGAACCTGATGAAACAACTTGGGGCGAGACACCTGCTGAACGCGATGCTCGTCTTCTCGCTGAAGCTGAACAACGCGTCGCTGAAATGGAGATTCTTGACTCGGGTCGTCTCGTTGGAGTTGAACCTGTACCTGCAGCATCCAATCAAGAAAGCGGCGAGTTAGTACTTGCTCCAGGCGAGTACGTGGATGTTGAGGTTCGTGTTCCACCACCAAATCTTACTCGTTACGTCGCACCTGCTTTCGATCAGATCCGCTCCGATGGTCATCAACTTCTGTTGTCGTTCTTCGCTAACGCCGAGTATTACCTGCGCGCACAAGGTCACAAAGCCACGGGAGAAACATGGCATAAACGACTTGGTCATCCGTCGCAGTTTACGCTAAACAACACGATCAAGGCTGCAGTGCTTGGCAAAAATTCGTTACTCTTACCGAGCGGTCTCGAACTGAAGCCGGTGAATCGCCCGGCACCCTGCACCATCTGCCCTGCGGCAAACCTACCGCACGAGACGTTCCCGACTCATTTCCCTGGAGCTGACGATTATCAACTGATGGATAAGGTTTACAGCGATATACTTAACTTACCTGAGGATGGTTTCAACGGCGAACGCTACGTTATCACATTTACAGACGCTTCTACTCGTTACGTTTGGACTGGAAACACGACTAACCGTTTTCTTGCGTTTACAGCTTTTCGCACCTGGCTTCCTCTCTCCGAATGAGAGTCTGATACTAAGCTCAAGGCGTTTCAGTGTGACGGCGCCGGCGAGTATCGCAGTACTGAGTTCACGGCCTATCTGCAAAAACGCGGGATAAGACGACTTTTTTCGTTGCCTCACGCTCATCAGCAGAGTGGCGTAGCAGAGAGGCTCAACAGGACTCTGCAAGAGAAGATGCGAGCCCTTCTTGCCCAGGCTCAACTCGGCCCACTCTACTGGCCTTTCGCCATGGACCATGCAACGCTGTTGCACAATCTTCTTTCGTCCTCGGCCCTGTCCAACAACGCATCACCCCACTTGCTGTGGACGGGCAAGTTGGGTACCACTAAATTACTTCGTGTTTTCAGGTGTGTTGTTCAGTACCGTCCTCCTACCGCTCCGCTCGGGAAGTTCGATCAGCGTGCTAAGTGGGGACTACATCTCGGCATTGAAAAACAATATTTTGCCTGGCGTATCATGGATTACCGCAGCCGTCTTCTTGTTCCTGCTCGCGACTGTATTTTCTACGAGAATCTGACGCTGCCCGTCTTCGAACAGCATCTTGCCATGCAGCAAAACCCTGCCACGCTTTTCCACGGTGTTCGTTCGTTTGCTAACGCCGAAGTCAAAATTGCTGCCAGCGAAGAACCTGACTCTGACGGTGCACGTGAAGCTGCTCCCGACCCACCTGTCCCCGTCACGTCATATGGAATTCCGGAGTTTATTCCTCTTGCTGACGCGGCACCTGAGGATGTCCGCGAAGTTCATCATACTTACCTCGTGGATGAACAACGCCAACCAATGCCGGTGGTTTCCGATAGCAGCATCCGTGTCAACCCTGACGAAATTGGGGGGGCAAGTGGAGACCAGAATGATTCTGTCAATTTCGCAGGTCGTCCCGACGATAATCCACATTATCAGTCCGGACTGCAAATTCTGGGACTCGCAGCAGCGGTACAGCACAGTTCTACAGTAAATTTGGAGCCGAAAACTGCCCGACAAGCTCTCTCAGGGCCTCATC